CGGGCCGCCCAGGGCCAGCCTCCGGCCCGATGCACAGCAAGCCCTTCCCTCGGGCCCGGTCCACAGGCCTGGCCCCGAGCGGTGCCGGTTTCTGTTGAGGGTGGGTCGTGCCCCCCGCCCTCATTGCACCTCAGAGTCAGGGAGAAGGACGATTGTAGACCAGCGGGAAGGGTTCTGTGGCTGGGAAGCTCGTACGCAGGAGGGGCCCTGACACGGCCTGAGAAGACATTTTCACATTCACGGTTTATTCGTTTCTTTCTGTGCACGAGCTGCCCCGCCGAGTCCGGAGGAGTTTGTTAGGAGCATACCCGCCCCTGGGATGTCAGTATTGTTAGGGCCCCAGAGATCTGGGAGTGCAACGCCTTGTCTGACGGATGACCCCGGAGATTACACACCATCTCAGCTGCAAAGCGTGTTTAGGTCCCAGGGTGCTTGCCTCCCAGACAAAGGTGCTTTCTGTGGCATTAGCTTTCATCGGGAGAGAACGCAGGCAGTGTTGCCGCCTTTTTTTTTTTTTTTTAAGCTTCTGGCTGGGGAGACCTGGTTTGCCCTCCCGCTTCAGCCTTTGACAGCTGATAATGGCCACTGCTCACAGTGCTGGACAGTTGCCCAAGCTCTCTCTCTCATATTTTTCTCTGAATTTCACAGCCACATTCTAAGGTAGGAAATGCCTTCTCAGGTGGTGAAGCTGAGCCTGTATCATTAAATGCCCTTTTTATTTATTTATTTTTAATTCCTCACCCGAGAGTATTTTTCCATTGATTTTTAGAGAGTGGGAGAGAGAGGGAAAGACAGAGAAATACATCGATTGGTTTCCTCGGCCAGGGAGGAGCCTGCAACCGAGGTTTGTGCCCTTGACCGGACTCGAACCCAGGACCCTTTGGTCCCCAGGCCAGCGCTCTATCCACTGAGCCAAAGAGCTCATGTGCACATAAAATGACTCACCCTCCAGCAGTAGGGAGAGAGACAGGTGAACCACCATCATCACACACTGATGTTTGCTGACCTAGAGCACAGAACTAGGAATAGAAGTGGCACAAGAGCTGTCATCTCTCTCTGGATGGGGGATCAGAGAAGCAGCTGAATCCAAAGATCTGTCCACCCCCCTCAGAGAAGTTGATAATTCTTCATGAAAAGTCAGATAATAGCTACTATTACTAATAGAAACAGCTAAGGTTGGGTACTTACTCTGTTCTGGGCCAAGCATTTTATATTCACTATCTCATTCAGTCCTTACATCAACCGAATGAAAATAGATACTGTCATCCCATTTCATAGATGAGGAAATAAAGGCTTAGAAGCCAGCATGGGGCTTTTTCCTTTTTAAAAAAAATATATTTTTATTGATTTCAGAGAGGAAGGGAGAGGGAGAGAGAGAGAGAAACATCAATGGTGAGAGAGAATCATTGATTAGCTGCTTCCTGCATGCCCTCTACTGGGGACTGAGCCCGCCACCCAGGCATGTGCCCTGACCAGGAATCGAACCGCCATCTCCTGGTTCATAGGTTGATGCTCAACCACTGAGCCCCGCCGGTTGGTCTGTTGGGGCTTTTTTCATTGAGATATTCTACCTTCCCAGATAGAAGCTCCAGCATTCGCTCATTCATTCATTCAATAAATAGTTATTGAGGACCTATTATATACCAGATCTGCATAGGAAGCAGCTGTGGAGCTTGACTTCATGAAGCTTCCAGACTGACAAATACTTTGAGAGTTTCTGTTTAGGGACTTCCCTGGACACAGGGCTCTGATGTTGTCTCTAGCTTTTATTCCTTCATTCTTAATTTCCATCAGCAGATGTCAGCACAGCTGTGGTATGTGGAGTACTGCTCCCACACCTTCTCCCCAACTAGATGAAAGGAATTGGGGGACGGGGCAGGCAGGAGGGGCCCTGAGGCTAGGGTCTGAGAAACCAGCAAAACTACTTTCTCATAATTCTGAGTCTGCATCCTGTGGCCACTATGTGTCTTCAGCAGCTTACTCTATGCCAGTCCAGCTGATCAGATAGCAAGTATTTATTGAACACATCATGATAACAACACTGAGCAACTACCAAGTGCAAGGAAGTGTGCTAAGCACTTTACAAAGTATGTCCTATTAAATCCTCACAGTAGCCCCTCATTGAGGTAATTATCATTACTATCCACCTGTCACTGATAGATGAGAATGAGTAACTCGCCCCAAACCATCCAGCTGGTGTGGTTCAGTGGTTGGGCATCGACCCAGGAACCAGGAGGTCACAGGTTTGATTCCTGGTCAGGGTTGCAGGCTGGATCCCCGGTGGGAGGTGTGCAGGAGGCAGCTGGTCGATTGTTGTTTCTCTCTCATTGATGTTTCTATCCCTCTCCCTTCCTCCAAAATCAATAAAAAAACATAAAACCAAAGTCAGGACTCAACCCAGGTCTGATTTCAGAGCCTGACTCTACTCTTAAATGTGGGGCATTCATTCATTCATAATTTAGTCAATGAATACTTAGCTCCAGCTGAATGCTAGGCATTGCCTTAGGGCAGTGGTCGGTAAACTGCGGCTCTCGAGCCACATGCGGCTCTTTGGCCCCTTGAGTGTGGCTCTTCCACAAAATACCGACTTCTGCACATGGGCCACGAAGTTTCAATCGCACTGTCCGTGTGCGCCCACACGTGGTATTTTGTGGAAGGGCCACACTCAAGGGGCCAAAGAGCCGCATGTGGCTTGCGAGCCGCAGTTTGCTGATCGCTGCCTTAGGGGCTATTCTGATAAATAAGAGAAAATCCTGCTCTCTTGTAGCTTATACACTCGTGGGAGGAGACAGACAGTAAACATGTAAGTAACCATCATTTCAGAAAGCAGTAGGTACTATAAAAAAAATTAAAACAGAGTAATTGGATCTAGGGTGCCTGGGGGTGTGTGTGGCTACTGTAGAAGGCATGGTCAGGGAAGACCTCCGAAGTTACAGTCTAGCTGAGACCTAAACAATAAGAAACGGCCAGCACTCTAAAGCTCCGGGGGAAGAGTGTTCTGGGCAGAAACTAATGCAAAATAAGCGTTGAAGTGGGAGGATTTGGTGCCCTGGAACTGGAGGCAGGCAGTGTAGCCAGAGAGAGGCATGAGGTGACTTCAAGGGGTAAGTAGGGCGAAACTATTGAAAGGAGATTAAAGTGTAATAGGAAGCCATTAATGGGTGTTAAGCAAAGGAATGATGGAATCTGAATTATGTTCTCAAAAAAACACTCTGGCCCCATCCTCTCAGGTGCTCAGGCTGCAGACCTGGGAGACCTGTATCCTATGGAGAATGATAAAACTGTCCAGTCTTTCTTTTAAAGATCTTTTAGCCCAGCCAGTGTTGCTCAGTGGTTGAGTGTCAACCCAGGAACCGAGAGGTCACTGGTTTAATTCCCAGTTAGGGCACTTGCACAGGTTGTGAGCTCAGTCCCCAGTAGGGGATGTGCAGGAAGCGGCCGATTGATGATGTTTCTCATCGATGTTTCTATCTCTCTCCCTCTCCTTTCCTTTCTCTCTAAAAATCAATAAAAAGATGTTTTTTAAATAAATAATTAATTAAAAAACAAAGATATTTTAATCCATTGGCTTCTCACCACCACCACCAGTTCTGTGGTCAGGATCACCATCATCTTTTGCCATTATTTCAGAATAACCTCTGAATTCACCACTGTCCTTCCCTCCACTCCTGTCCCCCTCCCATTCTCCAGACACATGCAGCACTTTGCAGCTTTAGAGTTTTGCTTCCTGCCTGTTGGCACCCTGTTCTTTCACAGGTAAAGTTAAAAGCCACCTCATCTGTGAAGTCTTTACTGACTCTGCCCCAGCCCCACATAATCACTTCCTTGAGCTGCAACTCCCCAGGTTTTGCCCCACCTCCCTAGCAGGGTGCAGCCTTGAGACCAGCACCTGGCCAGTGGCTCTGCCAGCCCTTAAAATGGATCAGTCTCTCCAGCTCTTAGAGCCATGCTTTTCAGACTGCAGACTAATCTGGGATTCCTAGATGGTTTGCATATTGGGGTCCATGTGAGATTTGGGTTTTTTAAATGCTCATGACTTTTAAGAATTTGAATTTTTAGTTCCTGGAATTCACCATGCTGTTGTCCTAATCTCTACCCTTGCACATACTGTTTCTTCATTTACTCAGAGAAGCCTTCCCTGAACCACACACACACACACACACCCTGATTGGTTTAAATGCCTCCTCCACCTTTAAAAAAAAAATAACTTTTTATTGAGCTATAACATATACCATAAAATGTTTAAATCTTAAGTATATATGGGACTCAGTGAGTTTTTACATACATATACTTATGTCACCCAGGTCAAGTTAGAGAACATTTGCAGTACCCAAAGGGCTTCCTTATGCTGGTCAGTTTTACCATGGAGATCACCCCTCTTTTGCCTTCCAGAACTATAGATTACTTCTGCCTTTTCTTGCACTTCATATAAACAGAATAGTATGTATATTCCTTTTTTCACTCTGCCTTATATCTGTGAGAATCTGTTGTGTGTAGCAGAAATTTATTGTTTTCCATTGTTACCTACTATTTCATTAAATGGCTGTACCCCAGGTTACTTACTCATTGAGATACTAGAGACCCAGGGCATGAAATTCATGCATGGGTAGGGTCCCTAGGCCTGGCTACAGATCAGGGCCAATCGGGGCCTTCTGGCTGCCAGCTGGGGCCTTCCTTCGTTCCACGCCGCCCCCTGGTGGTCAGCGCACATTATAACGAGCGGGCGAACTCCCAGTTGGTCGAACTCCCGAGGGGACAATTTGCATGTTAGGCTTTTATTATATAGGATAGCTGATAAATAATAAAGTGCATATATTTTAAGTGTGAAGTTCAATGAGTTTTGAAAAATGTTGTTTCTGGCTATTTTACATAAAGGTGCTATGAACTTTCTTGTACAGGGCAATTGTTTCCGTTGGGTGTATACTCTGCAGTGGAGTTGCTGAGGCATAGAGTATATGGCCAGTTTTTCGAAAGTGTTTATACTCCCACCAGCCGTGCATGAGCGTTCGGTTGCTCCTCATCCTCACCCACTCAACGTTATCGTCCTTTTGGTTCTAGCCGTTCTGTGGGGTGGTCTCCCTTTACTGTTCACTGGCACTCGCCCCTCTTCTGTGCTTCCCCAGCCCCTCCAGCCACCCTTTGGCACCCGTCACACACAGCTCCAGTCGCATGTTCTCACACTGGATGGAGTGTCCCTGCCGTCTGTCTAACCGGCTGCAAGATCCCCGAAGCTCAGCTCCTTCCCCGTCCTTTCTTCTCGCAGGTGGTTTTTCCCCATCATTGGCCACATGGGCATCTGCACGTCCACAGGAGTCATTCGGGACTTTGCTGGCCCCTACTTTGTCTCGGTGAGTCTCCATTCCTCCCCCCTCTGGAGGGTTCCAAGGCTTAAGTGGACGGTTGGCCTGTCTTGCCTGCAGGCAGCTCCCTATCTCCCTGAGACCCAAGAGAATGCAGCCAGCACGCAGCCCGGGCCCTGGCCCTCTGCTCCTCACCAGTGTTTGACGCCTTTACCCCTTCTCTTGCCTCCAGGACAGGCCAGGAGGGCAGTGTGGCCAGAAGGATTCTTAAGTAACTGACCCAGCCCTTTGCCCACCCCTTGGGTACTGAGACATGGGTAGGGGTTAGAGGCAAGAGTGGAGTCAGACCATCCAGGAACCACATCTCCGGACCTTCAGAAGGTGGGAGTCACAAGCTGGGGACACAGGGGAGGCTGACATGGTTCCCTGGGTGTGGCCATGGAGAGAGGGGGTGGGCCTCCTACAATGAATCAGCTATGTTATCAGGTCTTTTGGGGGGAATGTGCCCAAAATGGCTGTAGTGGGCTTGTTCCTGGCTATTTCGAGGTTGCAGCTTCATCAGAAGCTGAAGCAAAGGGGGTATATGGTGGCATCAGCCTGTTTATATTAATAGTTGTCATGATCATCTTACACAGAAAGGTCTTTCATAGCCATTGCTTTCACTGTCATATACTTTTATGATAATTTATCTTTGACCAGCTGTCAGCAGATTCTGAACCCAGAATCTGTCCCTACACATCTCATGTGGCAGGTCTAGGACCTGGCTAAAATGCCTCCCTCATGGAAGGCCTCTCACCCCCCTCCCCCCTTCCCTGTCCTGCTCTGAATGCAGTCGGACTGGCAGATGCAGAGACGGGCTCTCTGGGCACTGCTGTTGGGTCAGGAGGTCAGGGTGTCCTCATTCATACCAGGAAGGAACTGCCTCCCTGTCATCAAAGATCAGAAATTGACCAGAGAACTTGAAGAAAATGAGGCCCAGAGAGAGTGAGAGAATTCACTAGGAGCCACACCAAGGGGCAGTTGTGGCTGGCACCCCGAGTCTTTGGTCTCGGTGTACAGGGCTCTGTGCCATGCTGCCTTCTTTCCACCAACATGCTGCTGCTGGCACTTCACAAACCGACCCGCCCCAGAGCAGGGCCCGGGCCCCACTGCTGCCCACCCGACATACCTCCTAAGTCACTGCACTTCCACCGCCAACCCCGGTCTATCTTCCAGGCTGGATGTGGGTTCCCCACTGACCTCTGCTCTTGTCCCTCAACAGGAAGACAACATGGCCTTTGGGAAGCCTGTCAAGTAAGTGAGAACACCCATGTGACTGGCCCTAGGGCCAGGTTCCTCCTGGCTGGGTCCTTTATCCACAGGCCAACTAGACCTTGCCTCAGCTCTTCAAAGTCGTGTTTTCAGCTCCATTGGAAGGGTGAGGAAAGGGAAGAGACTTGGTCAAGACCACACAGGAAGTGGCAGAGTTGGGACTCACACCCAGGTCTGTCTCACTCCACAACCTAGACTCTCTCTCCTGTCCCTCAAGGAGTGAACACACCATTTAAGGTGTAGGAGGCATTGTTTGGAACTCCCCTGGAAAGTTCTGGTCGGAGAGAATAAAAGCAGTTCAAGTCCTCTGGGAGCTACTGCTGGCTGGCTTTAATTTCTCTCTCTCGGGGGCCCACCTCAAACGTGGTTCTGGTGACAGTGCCTCTGTCATCTGTGTGCTCGGAACAGCATCAGAGGCTGCACCCAGGAGGGCTGGGCCCAAGGAGTAGCAGTGCCTCTGTCATCTGTGTGCTCGGAACAGCATCAGGTGCTCTGTTGCCAGAGGCTGCACCCTGGAGGGCTGGGCCCAAGGAGTAGTGGGTGTCGCACCCAGCAGGGGCAGCCTGCGGCTTCCTCAGCACCTGCCCATGTGGGCCCAGGCCTCTGAGCTGGGTGTCTGCTGCCAGGCTGCTGTGGGAAGCTCCCGGCACCCATTTCTGGGCAGGAACCCCTGAGCAGCCCCCGCCCAGGCCGTGGTGGTTTCTCACTGGTCCCCTGTGTCTGGGCCAGCAATTTTCAACCTTTTTCATATCCTGGCACACATAAACTAATTACTAAAATTCTGTGGCACACCCAAAAAATTTTTGGCTGATTTGACAAAAAGAAAAAAAAGAATACTTGTTATTCATTGACACCAGACAGCTATTGTTGTGTTAGCTGTTGTCATTTTTTTAATTTGACAGTCTAAGGGAAAAGAGATCAGTGCCCTGACTAAATGGTCAGGTATTGCAGTGCTTTAAAAATTCTTGGGGCACACCCGTTGAAAATCGCGGCTCTAGGCTTCGGTACCAAGCCATTCCACTCACAGCAGCCAGAGGGCGCTCTGACCTCCCAGCACTCCCTCAGGGGTCTCACCCAGCTTGAGGTTTATGAGCTTTAGCTTCCCTGGCTGCTCTCCCACTCACCCTGATCTCCTTGTGGGGGGATGGGAGGGAATGCTTTCTGATGGATAAACTCCTCAGGGTGATAGTCAAGTCGTCTACGACATGGCTCTACCTGTATCTCCAGCCTCACCTCCTGGCATCCCATCACCCTGTTCCTCCCTTGATCTTGGCTACATACTGCACAGTTTTGTGCCTCTTCCTCTGTTCAGGCTGTTCCCTCTGCCTAGGGTACCCACTCCCTGTTCTGTGCCTGGCTAACTCCTCTTCGGGCTGGACTCGGTGTCACCCCAGCTGAGTTAGCTCATGTCCTCCCCAGGATCCACCTGGCATTGGGCGTATCACACTGTCACACGGCCCTGGACCTGGCTGTCCCCTGCAATTTCAATACCCAGCTCAGGGCCCTGCGCAGAGCGGGCACCAGGGAACGTTGGTGGAGCTGAGCCAGTGCCCAGAACCCCCTCTCCCCTCAGGTACTGGAAGTTGGACCCTGCTCGGGTATACGCCAGCGGGCCCAATGCGTGGGACACAGCTGTGCACGACGCCTCTGAGGAGTACAAGCACCGCATGGTAGGTGAGCCGCTCCTGGGGGTGGGAGCCAGGGTGGGAGCTTCCCCCACAGCCCTGCATGACCCCTCCTTCCTGCTTCTCCAGCACAACCTCTGCTGTGACAACTGCCACTCACACGTGGCGTTGGCCCTGAACCTGATGCGCTACAACAATAGCACCAACTGGAACATGGTGACAGTCTGCTTCTTCTGCCTGCTCTATGGCAAGTATGTCAGGTGAGCTACCCACCTCCCACCACCCCTTGGAGATGTTGAAGGTTCTAGAAGAACTAGCTGAGTTCCTGGTGGACAAGGAGGTGGCTGTGCTAAAGGTCAGCTGCACCGGGTCCCAAGCCCAGCTCTGTCACTTGCTCTCTGTGAGATCTCGGGTGACTGCCTTGGCTCTCAGCTGCAGCTGTTCTTGGTAAAATGTGGGTAATGATTCTGGCTCCTTGGAGAGACTGTGGGTGCACAGGTAGACCCTCACAGGAGAGTGGGTGACTGCCCCACAGGGTCCCTTCCCAGCTTCCAGCGTCTGAGGCAGGGTTCTGAGCAGGTGGGCCCCAGTGGTGGCTCAGGAGGACCTTGGAGGTCACAGCTTCATGACGTGTGAGGTCAAAGGTGTTAGTCTCAATTCACAGATAAAGGCAGCTCAGAGAGGGTGAATGACCTGCCCACTTGGAGCCAGCACGCCCCTGGCAGCCAGGCCACCTCTCCAGGCTTTTCTCAGCTGCGCTCATCATTGAGAGCTTCTGAAAAGGAGGCTCTCGGGAGTCTACAGTCCAGAGGCTTTCAGAGGTCCCCTGAGAAGTCTGTAACTGGCCACGCACACACTGAGGCAGAGCCGGGGTTGTACCCAGAGCCCTGACTCCAGCCACAACACTGTTCACTCTTGCTGACTCCTCCCCCCTCGGGGGCCCCATTAGGAAAGCTGTGTGCAGCCGGTGCTCCTGGCTTTCATGCCCAGACAAGGGCCTGGTCCTCTGACTGGAGACCTCTCCCCAGAGACTGGGGTGGTGGTAGATGGAACCAATAAGTTCTAGAGAAGGTGGGCACATCTGTCACCCACCCAGGGAGGTGCCACGTCTCCACCAGGAGCCTGGAGCATCTCCTGCCAAGGACCATAGGTGGCAGTCCTCCATAGTGGGTGCCAGGCCCAGCCAGTCCCTTGGTGGACCAAATTATGGGGTGAGGGCATGGTTCCAGGAGCTTCCTTGGGGACAACAGCCCCTCCTGGGTTGGGATGGATGGGGCTTGGGGTGGCTCCCTCACCCGGCCCTTCCCACCAATACTCCCCTCCCCTCTCAGCGTCGGGGCCTTCGTGAAGACCTGGCTACCCTTCGTCCTCCTCCTGGGCATCATCTTAACTGCCAGCCTGGTCTTTAACCTTCGGTGATGGCTGCCTCGTGGCCCTGGACCTGCCACTCCTTTTGGTTCCAGATTCTTTTCCTCTCCCCAAAAGGCAGGGATGGGCCTGCTGCTGGTTTTGAGCCAAGAGTCTGGGCCAGGTGGGCTGGAATAGGCTGAGGATGAGCAGGGCTAGGGGGGCGGGGGGTGTGGTTGCATATTGTGTCTCACTGGTCACTCAGAAGTTCCCTGTGCCCTCCTCCCCAGGCCGGTGACCCCTGTTCTTGAGGCACCCTCTCTGCCCATCTGTTGGAAAGGCTTTAACTTCTCCCTGTAGCTGCTCCTGTGCTGCCTCAGCTCAGTGCCTGGTGGGGAGGGGAGGGCATTTGGAGCCACCAGACGGGTCAGAGCTGGATTTGGAGCCTGTTCTCCTGCCAGGGCTCGGTCCTGGGGGGGCGGGGAACACTAGGAAGTTTCCATAAGCTAAGCCACCTGGGCCTCTCCGCTGGCCTCTGGAATGGTCCAGCAGGGCTGGGTGGCCCCCTTTGGCCAGAAGCTGCACTAGGGGTAGTTTGTGCCCCATCTCCTGGGGCCCTCCAGACCATGCAGCCCCTTCTACCCACTCTCCCAGGGCCCATCTCCCACTGGAGCCCACATCCCTCAGCAAATTGGGGCCTGGGCCCCCCAGTCAGGCTGGAGAGATGAGTGACACTGATGTGTCCAGAGTGACGCCCTGCAGACCAGAGCAGCGGAAACAAAGCCTGGCCCCGGCCCAGGTGTGGGCCTCACTCGGGATGGCACCCTTGGGTCCAAGATGTGCCAGAGCAGCCAGCGCCATCACGGAGCTGAGGGGAGCTGTTTCCTCCTCACCAGGGCTCCCTCTTCTCTTCGCGCTGTGGGAAGGGCTTGTGCTGCCCCTCACCCCTGCCCCACGGATTCCTGTGTGGGGGGCTCCCTGGACAGGACAATAAAGAATTTTAACTCCAGAAAGTGCCTTGTCCTTGTTTTCTCCCTTCACTTCTTCAACTCGTATCTCCTTGGTGTCCTTGGTACCTCTGCCCCTGGCAAGGGGTCTGGTTAAGTCTTCACCCACTGCCTGGCTTCCAGGGTCGGAGCATCCCCCAGGCATCCTGCCCTGGGCCCAGGCTCTGGGAGTCCCTCACCCACCATCCCAAAGCTTTCTCTTCAAGGCAAATGAACATTGAAATCCTTCCCACACTCCCTGTGGGGAGGAACTTGGCAATAGGACTGGGGTTGGGGCTGAGCAGGCCACAGCCCAGGGGTCTACAGTTTGGGATAAGCTGAGAGAGCCCCAGCCCCTGGCTCCTGCCAGTTCATCAGTCACATGGCCAAGTTCCTTGTGCTGACCCCCAGGGATCCGGTCGCTGTCCTGCTCCACTGTGCCTCCACTTGTGGCCTTCCGGGCCCTGCATTCTCCACTCCACACGCCCTGCCCTCCAGCCTCCTCCCACTACAGTCCTGTGCTTCCCGTGTTAAAATCATGGCCTTTCTGCCCAAGCCCAGTTTAAAAGTCACTTCCTTGGAGGAGTCTCCTAACCTTGCCCTATGCCGTGTGTCACTTAGTTGAACTAGTAAAGGATTTGGTCTCTGGATCTTGAGCCCTTTGTGTTCATCCTGAGAATGGCTTTGAGGACGGCTCTAGCTGTTGGCCCCCAGAGCCCTGGATCAGCTATCCCAGCTCACCCCAGACCCGCAGTGCTGTGGTTTCCAAGCCTGAAGTTCCTCCCCACTTCAGAAAAATTCCATTTTCAAACATCTTCCTTGCATAGTGGGGTCCATCTGAGAATTGATTGGTGCGGGGAGGGATGGGAGGGTGAGTTCCGGTGCAGAGAAAAATCACAGCAAAAGAGGGAAATGTTTTAAGGCCTCCTGCCCGGCAGGGCTTTCAGTTAGCCTTGCAGAGAAAGGACATGAACAGGGGCCGTGAAATCACCCAGCAGTTACTGAGAACTGGCCGTTTGACAGCCTTGTCATGGAGCCTGTGAGGTCAGTGTATCATCCCCATTTTACCAATGAACAAATAAGCAGAGAAGTAAACTGAGGTAGGACAAGTAGCACCATGTTCAAACCCAGCAGCTTGGCTCTGCAGCCCCCACTCGGGACCACCCTGTGAGATGGCATCGCTGGAGCACAGGGAGGGAAGTGGGGAGGGGCTGTGTCTCCGAAGGATTGGGGCACTAAGCAGCTGGCCACAGCGCATAGGCACTGAGCCCATGCCCACAAGCAGGTGGCCGCAGGCGGGGAAGCACTCTGCAGTGGGGGGTAGGGAACACAGATGGCCAGGGCTGTGAAGGGACAGGGAGTAGTCAGCAGTAAGGCTCTGAGGACAGTGGTACCTGCATATGTTTATTTATGAAGGGATCTCATTGAATTGTAGTGAAAACCATAAATGAAAGGATTACCTCCATTTAACAGATCAGTAAAAAGAGGCTCAGAAAAGAAAACTGACTTGCAAAAGAGTGGGGAAGGATGGGCCTTGGGCTGGGGCAGATGAGTGACCCCCAGGTGCTCAGAGTGGTGATAACATTACTGGAGCCAGTTCTGAGGAGGGAGGAAAGGAGTGGGGTGTCATTTAGTCCTCTCCCGGCCCCACCTCCTCTCTTGGGGGTCTGGCCCTTGAATCCATACCAAGAAGGGACAATCCATACCAAGTAGCATGACAGGCAGAGTGGAATGAAGCAGACTTGTGGGGTCTCAAAGTTTTTGTGTGGCCTTGGTCCATGGTCTTAAAGTAAATGTAATCTAGGGCCCAAAGCCATTCGCAGGGTAGGGCAGAACTGAGAGCAGAATGGGATGCCCAAAGGGATTCCCCAGGGACAGAGGGTGTGGGAGCCTCGCTGCTGTGGCCAGCACTTCCCAGGAGGCATATGTGGACACAGAGGGGCAGTGGTTGTGAGAAGGGACTATGTTGGAGAGGGATCACCTGGTACCCACTATATGCCAGCTTGTGCCAGGCACTTTCATTTCCCTTATAATAGGCTCTTCGCACTCTGCTGCCCAGTTTGCACTGGAGGAAATTGCAGCTTATATTGAGAGACCTGCTCAAAGTCACATAGTGGCAGAGCAGGAGCTACTCAGGGCTGTCTGACTGCAGTGGGCAATCCTTCCATTACCCTGGTTCTTATAAAGGCTTCTAACTGCTTTCAAAGCAAGTTCCCATCAGCGCCTCAGCGGGTAGGGTGGGCAGCTACTCATTCTACAGATGGGGCAGCCAAGGCCCAAGGGTGACAGGAGTGACAGAGTAGGTTGGCAGTGGAGCTGGGGCCAAGTCCCAGGCTTCTCCTGCCCAGCAAATCCGCTCTGGGTTTTCTGAAAGCAGAGACTAGGGCGCACGCACCCCTGGGGAACCAGAATCCAGGCCCGGTTTTGCATCAGGCCCTCCTGAGAAGGTGTTTCCTCCTCCTAGTGGGGCAGCTACTCGCTGCGGTTGAGTCAGCCTTAGTCCCTCACTGCTCTTCTCCTGGTCCCTGAAACTCGGCTGCCAGGGGAGCTGGGGCCACCTACGAAGGTGTCCCCTCCATACTGGATCCCTACAGGTAACCTGCTTCAGGACGGGGGTCCCCTGCCAGTGTCCCAAAGGGCAGGCACTGCCACCTGGTATCCTGAGCACCCTCTGGGACCTTGGGGGGTGGGGGGGTGCAGGAGTGTGTCTGAGAATGGAACAGCCGGACAGATGGAGACACCCTTGTATTGACCCATGGATCTGTCCCATAGTGTTGAAACAGAGCAGGAAGGACCTGTTGATTCTGCCTCTGGAAGGAGAGGGGACAGCAGGAAGGCCTGTGCTGCTGGGGATTCTGAGCTCAGGTGCCCACTGCCCAGCCCCAGGCAGACCGACAAGACAAGAGCAGGGTCAGTTTTACAGAATGTCCTCTCACCTCCATACACATGCGTGTGCACATGTGTGTACGCGCACACATACACACACCTGGTGGTCCTGAGGGTACCAGAGTACACACTACAACACACAGCTCAGTTACACATACAGCACAGTAGGAAATACACAGTGCACACACCATACAACACTATCACCTAGAGAGTCACTGAGCACATCACACAGACAACAGCCACCAGTCAGCATCACACCGTGACATGACACACAGGCAGTGATATGATATTCACACCAGCAAAATATACAGTCTTCTCGATCCTCAGTACCCAGACATGCCTGCTGGACCGATGGTCAAAACAGCACAACTCAGCAGAGACATCACCGTGGGCTCACCCAGCAGCCACAGAAGAGCCCCAAACGATGTGTTTGCAACACCCAGTACCTTGAACACAGTAGATGTGCAGGAGCTAGTGTTAACGTGGAGCATGCAGGCATTCACACAGGCCATACAAATGCCTGATGGAGACATGCAGGAACCCCAGGCTCCCAGGTGAGGGTGGGGCAGCCGGGGAGAGGGCTCGCTTGGGCTTGGACACTGACTCAGCCGGGAGGGCACAGGGCGCGGGCAGCAGGCACAAGCCAGGACCTGCCTTCCCATGCAGCCCAGCCTGGTGCCCTGGCATGGCAGGGGACAGGAGGGATGGGAGAGACCACCCAGTGGGCTCAGACCATGGCTCTGCTCTGCTCTGCTCGTGGCCCAGTCATGGGCCCCTTGCCACGTCCACACGCCCCTCAGGGCTGAGCAAATGTTTTGCTTCCGGAGTCACCATTCTACCTGAGCAGCTGGAGCTGCTTTGCCAGCACTTGGCCTCCACCACCGGGACCCTAGCCAAGTCCTGGGTCAGGGAGGGTGGGGGACCCACGTGGCCAGAGCCAGGGGCTCAGGGGGTCCGGAGAAGAGGGCAGGGCTGGCAGCTGGGGCATTCCTGGTCTGTGGGAGGGGGTGGGTGCGGCCGTTGCCTCGGTGCGGGGGGAGGAAGTTGGGGGTGTAGACTGGGGAGGAGGTTGCCTCAGACAGGAAGACCAAATGGGCCAGGGCAGGGTGGAGGTGAAGGGTGGAGGGAGGGGAGCCACGGTAGGAGGTTCCAGGACAGGGGGTGAGCAGATATGTGTGTTTTGTGTGTGTTCATGCCCCAGGTGTGTGCAAATGTTTCGTAGGAGGTTCCAGGACAGGGGGTGAGCAGATATGTGTTTTGTGTGTGTTTTGTGTGTGTTTATGCCCCAGGTGTGTGCAAATGTTTAATTAATCAAACGTTTACCAACCATCTGTTGTGTGCAAAGTACTGGCTTTGGGGGTGAAGGCCTGTCCCTACCTTCAAGGAGCTCACAGTCCAGTTGGGGGAGCACTGTGTATGCAAAGGTCCGTGTGGTCTGTGGATATCTAGGGACAAGTCTTTGTCCCAGGACTTATTCTTGTACAGGTGAACCCGCCCTGTGGGTCCTGCCTCCCTTCGTGGGCATGGGCCTGTGTGCAGGCTTAAAGCTGTGTTAGATCATCTCTTGGTTTGGGCATGACCACATAGGGCCCTTCATGGAGTAACAGGTGTGTGCGTGCCTGACCTTGTACAGGCATCAGTGTGTATGTGTGACTGGTGTATTTACATGTGTCAGTGTGTACGCATGTGTCCCGGTATAGTGTACACATGTGTCCAAGGGTGCATCTCATGCCACCTTGACCTCAGCCTTCCTGGGTGGTATCCTGCCCACCACCTAGAATACATTTGGGCAGAAAGAGGCAGTCAATTCCAGGATGTGCCCTATATTTGAGCAGGGCTTGACCTGACCCCAAGTCTGTCCCCAGGGAGCCATGTGTGCCCAGTGGGGGCACTGCCCCAGCTGATGCCTCAGAGGGGCCACCCATCTCAAGAGGGGCTCTGGGCCCCACCTTACCTCCTCATGGCGCATGAGCCAGAGCCCGAGGCCGATGGGCTGTTGGACCTCAGCTTCCTGACAGAGGAGGAGCAGGAGGCCATTGCCGAGGTCCTGAAGCGAGATGCCCACCTGCGCCAGCTGGAGGAGGGGCGCGTCAGGTGAGGTAGGGCGAGAGGTGCGGGCCTCAGGCACCGGGGGGCCCACCCTGCCCCCACCAACCTGCAGCCTGTCAGATATCTGAGTAGTTCTCGTTTTTGCCGTTTGGTTCCTTGTACCCCTGGCCAGCTCTGCTTATCACCTCTCCCAGCCTCCCTGCCTCCGGCCTTGCCCGCTCCGGCCAACCCTCCATACCGCAGCTGGAGCTCCTCAGATCCGTCCTTCATATGCCTCGCTGAACCCTCTCCTGGCTCCTCAGCATCATGTGTTAGGGGCAAGCCCGGAGCGTGGTCCACAGGCCTTCCTGATTGGTCCCTGCTAGCCTCCCCCATCTCATCTTCCACCAGTAACCACCACCCCTGACACACACAGTGTCCACTAGAGCCATGCAGGTGCTCCACTGTCCCTGAACACACCCACCTTTCGTTCCTGCTTCCTGGAAGAGCCCAGTGGCAGAGGAGCACAGGACTTACAAGTAGTGCTTGGGGACAGACACCTCCTAGCGATGTAACCTTGGGCAATTCACCTGACTTCTCATCTGTAAAGTGGGGCTAAGGAATCCTACCTTATAAAATTAGGAGGGATTAGGCATAGTAGTCACTTTAATGAATAAATTCTTCTCCTTCTCTACCTGAAGAAATCCAATTAGTCCTTTTAGAGGTAATGCAAATGCTGCCTCCTCTGGGAAGTCCTCCTGAATTCCCACAGGCAAAACTGGCACTTCTTATATCCATCATGGCACCCACCTCACTATAATATACCTGTCTATTCTGGACTCGGTCTCCCCACCAGCCTGAGCTCCTCCAGAGCAGGGATCAAGTCTGATTTGCTATTGTGTCCCTGGCCCCAGGTACAGGGCCTGGCACATGGTGGGTGGCAGGAATGTTGGCTGGGTGAATGGTAACAGCCATGCCCCCCGCCCCTCCCAATCCTCCAGCAAGCTCCGGGCTTCACTGGCAGACCCTGGGCAGCTGAAAATCCTGACGGGGGACTGGTTCCAGGAAGCACGCGCCCGACGGCACCACCATGCCCACCTTGGCTCTGACCTTGTCCGAGCCTCTATCCGCAGGAAGAAGAGCTCCAAGGGTGAGAGATCCTCAGGGCAGGACAAGCCTTGTGCAGGCCGGGGCACCCAGTGTATGTGGACAGGTAGAGGGCCCCTGGGTCCCAGTCCCAGCTGCCCCTGGTACTGTGTGCCTTTGGTCGGGTACCACCCCTCAGTACTACCCCTCTGTGGAGGGGGGTTCACAGAGCTTCTCACCTGCATGCAGGAGAACAAGCTCTGGGTAGCAATAGGGAAACCGAGGCTGCCGGGGAAGAGACTGAAGAGGAGTTGGAGCCCAGGTGAGTAGCAGTGGCGGGGGGCGGGGGGTGCCTACCAGTCATCGGGGTCCCATCCCTGACAACTGCTTCTCCCTACTCCTAGACTCCTCATAGACAAGGCCCCTGAGGAGAGGCTCAGTGAGGCGGAGGCGGAGGTGAGTGATGAGTGACTGAACTAATAAAGGAACGTACCGGAGAGTAGAGGTGGCATGTGCTGGGAAAGAGACCCAGCCTGAGAATCAGGTCTGTGTCTGTCATCCTGTTCTGTCAAATGGGAGTATGGACCCCTAAGAAAGTCCCGGAATCTGGCTGTTACTGTGGAGTAGGGACTGAGCAGGTCGCGGTCCGGGACTCAGATGCTACTGTCCCCCACTAATGGGACGCTGGAGTCAGGCAGGGCAGGCGCTGAAGTGTGACGGGGTGTGAAGTACAGGTCCGACGGGTCCTGCAGCTGGTTGCAGCCCTGCCCTGGTGGCTGAGCTAAATCTAAAGCGGGGCAGCCAGCTGGAGCCCCTGACCTATGACCCCATCATAACCTTTAACCCTTCATCACTAGTTCCCACTGTGACCTCTGCCCCTTGCTTCTTTCAGGGACGTGATCTCCCCTCACCATATGTCCCCCCAAAAGCATCAGATCATGAGGAGGAGCCTCGGGCCCAGGAAGGTGAGTGGGCGGATGTGTGCTGGGGAGCACAGAGAGGTCGTGGGGATCAGAGGCAACTCTAAGGGGCTCCAACCATCTGTGTTGACCTTCCTCCTCCTCCGGCCTTGGGGGTGGGGGGGCAGGTGGTCTCTCCGGGCAACCCAGGGCGGCACTAGGGCCCCGATCCTCAGGTCAGGGGGCTGCAAACCAGCCTCTCCAAACGTGTGCAGGGCGGGCTCGGAGGGGCTGGTTCAGCAGCTTGTGCCCCACCCCAGCCCCCGGCCCCGGGGGTGCACAGGTCTACGAGCAGGAGGCGGGCCCAGAGCCGGAGCCGC